ATTTATCCCGGCGTTAAACGCTCGCGAACTTGACGCGCCGCTTTTAAGCAGCTCTACTGAAATTCGTGCGTCCTGTGTACATTAGCGAGCGGTTTAATGGATTTTAAACGCTTTAACGTCGTTACATTAAAGTGGGGGCGGGGGCCGGTCTTTCGTTGACTCGTTAAAAACGACGAAAGGCGTGCCGTTAAATTCACTCCGAGCGTTCCATGAATGAACCGCGTGAACGCGTATCAACGGATACACATAATTCACGGGAAACGGGAGGTTCGTTTAATCCGGTGATCTAATTGGAAGATAGTCTCATTTGCAAAGAAGATTTAACGCCGATCAAAGTTAAATACGCGTACACGGATTTCCATCGAGATTAGTCGATCTAATCTGTTTAATTGATACCCGATTCGGCTCGAATGAAATCTCGGCGATACCGTTGATGGGATTTGAAAGGACGGCTCGATCGCGTCACGTGCTTTCGCGGAAGAAATGTTACGCTGTTAATTTGATTTATATAAAGACCGTCCTATCGAGTTCCCTGTGTCGCTCCTACAACGGGGACTGTCTCTCGCGTCGAACAGGCGACGTTTAACGAGGAAACGTCTCGATCGTTCAGTGATATACTTTTCGCCAGGGTTCGCGCGCAAGCTAAATATAATGTTACGACGTAATCGCAGATAGTACGAGTGTCCGAGACCCGTGAGGGTTTCTTAGACCTAAACGATCTCGAACGGAGGCTGCTCAAAGTGCGAGCGGAGGGTGTTACGCAAATGATCGGATGCTTCAGCGCTGCCAGTTGCATAACCGGTGTTTTGGCAGATGACGTCGCCACGACCCTTCTCCTACACCAATACGGAGCGCTCAGCATCTGGGATTACACGGCCGCAGGTAACCATCAGCTGATACCTGTCGCGATAGATGTCATCGACGGACGGCGCGACAAGATTGACTGCAATGTTTGTCGCGTTTCGTGATAATGAAAAAAGATGTTTTATCAGTCGCGGGGATCGAGGTTTAAAGTTGACGGGAATATAAAAATGTCAATCTGTGTCGTGCACGCCGTTTTACCACATTCTTGACGCGCTTGCGACATTACGGATTATTCTTCTTTAAACCGTCAAGCGATTCGTCGGAGCGCTGGGAATATTGATCGAATTCCGTTCGAGTCGTGCATTCGGCGAACTGGGTAATTTGTGGGAAAGTGGAGGAATTCGATCGAGTGTTCGGTGCTTTGAGATTTGAGATTTGAAATGTGGGCTTTGAGATTTGAGAATTCGGGATTGAGAATTGAAATTTGGAATTCGGGATTTGAGAACTGAGAATTGAAATTTGAAACTTCAATTTTTCAGGTTTAAAATGTTTAAGTTTCAAATTTCAAATCTCGAATTTCACATTTCAAATTTCAAATTTCGATTCTCAATCCTGAAATCCCCAAAACTTTAATTTTCCAGGTTTAAAATTTGTAAGTTAAACATCTGAAATCGAAAATTTTAAATCCTTGAAAAGTGGAATTATTTTAATGTACGAGAGACTCATCGATAGATCTTGATTTCGACCGTAACCGTTTCAGCGCCGTACGTTCAGATCGACATGAATCCGCATTTGCCGGGCGTCGGTGAGACAGCCGTCCACAAGGACGCGATTATTTTCGCCGGGCACAAGTTCATCGGCGGTGTGCAGTCCCCCGGCGTGCTCGTGACCAAACGGTCCCTACTCAGAGATAAAATTGGCACGGAAGACATGAGGGACTCCCATCACTATCACCGTGATCCGGAGCTCCGGGAAGAGAGCGGCACCGCCGGTGTCGTCGAGACGATCAGATGCGGACTCGCGGTTCAATTGAAGGAGAACGTCACGCCGCGAGCCATCGTTGCCCGCCAAGATAAGATCTCCAGGTACGACTAGTCTTAAAATACCATTTTATAATTGCACCGAGTATATTGGCCGGTTCCGGAGACTTTCTCGGTTTCCTCCGAACACGTGGATACGTGTAATTTATTTCATCCGCGTGAGAGTTTCCAGTGAAATACGAGGCAGAGCAATTTTTTAATTACCACCGTATCGCCCGTATCGTTTACCATAGTTTATTTCGCTCAACCGATGATAGACATTACCGTTTGAAATAGATTCATCCGGTGGACGGTATGTTCTTTTACTAACTATTTCCGCGAACCGAGAATTACGCGCAACGACACGGCGGGTTACCCGAACTGGCTGAAATACTAGGTGAAAGAATGCTAAATCTCGCCATAGACTGAAAAAAGAAAGCGTAAAGAGAGGAGCAGACGCAGGAGAAAATGGCGAGCGACAGCATGGATCCGTATTCTGAAACGTGCCTGATTCTGCTCCCCTTTAGGCAAGTGTTGGCCCACGTGCGCACGATCCCGGAACTGATTCTGCTCGGCAGTGGCTCGCAGAATGTTAAGAGGCTCCCGATCTTTTCGTTCATGGTGCGTCACCCGCGCGGCACGTTTCTCCACCACAACTTCGTGTGCGCCGTTTTGAACGACGTGTTCGGGATACAGGCGCGGGGCGGCTGCGCGTGCGCGGGTCGTTACGCTCATGACCTGATGGGAATCGACCAAGAACTCGCGAAGGAGTACCAGAAAGTGCTCGCAGAAGGGTATGAGTCCGCGAGACCAGTCTCGCGCTTATCGATCCCCCGGCTACGCGGAGATCGGCCTATTAATGAACCGACCCTGTTTCTTCCCTTTGCAGCGAGAGGAACACCGACAACGAGGAGACCAACGCGGAGGGGCTGCGACCCGGCTTCGCGAAGCTGTCGTTCCCATACTTCATGTCCGAGGCTGAAGTCGCGTTCGTCCTGGAGGCGCTGAAGATGGTAGCCACGGAAGGCTGGAAGCTGTTGCCGCAGTACGTGCTGAACCCGGACACCGGGGAATGGCGGCACCACACGAACAGCGTGTTCAAAGAGCGGAAATGGCTGAGCTCGATCAGGTACACCGACGGGAAGATGAACGCGTCCGAGAGGAGGGTGTCCGGGTCGGGCGTGCTACCGCAGAACTATGGGGACTGCCTGCAGACAGCGCGGAATATCTTCAACCGCGCCAGGAAAATGGCGCAGCGCTACCCGCTGCAGATCGATCGCAGCTACAACTTCGTCTCGGAGCGGATGGAAGCGCTACGATGGTTCATGCTGCCGAGCGAGGCTCAAGACCTGCTGCTCGGCAACTCGCAGAACGTGAAGCAGGACGTGCCGTTCAATCCTACGCTGTCCTGGAGCCGGCACGGGCATCACACGCCGACCACCACGCACGACACACAAGTGAACTGTCTGGCCCTGGTGAACAGCATCCGCAGATTGAACAGCGACATCATCAGAGTAGGGAACGTGCCGATCTCGGCGACGTCGCCCAGGCACAAAAGCCTGCCGGCGCTCAGCTCCGTCAGGCGGACGCTGCTGAACGCTGCCGAGTTCCAGTGTTCTTACTCCAGCGGCGGCAGCAGCGGCAACGAGGAGGAACGCTCGACCAGCGCCGACCGGAACAACGAGTCGACAGGGCAGAGGTCGCCGGCTACCTGCCCGAGTTCACCCATGCCGGTGAGATTCGCTGTTGGCGAGGTAGTCACGCCCTCGGCCCTCGGCGCGATCCCTCACGCAGCCAGCCGGCCGATCAAAGAGGAAAGAGATATCATCGAGGCTGCGAACGCCGGTCGCGCGAGGTGCAATTCCCTCGGCAGCACCGGCGGCGGAGAGAACGCGTCGGTGAACCGCAAAGTGGCGTCCTCCTCCTCGTCCCCTATACCGCCGCTACCGTTGAGTCCTCAGACTCTGACCAGCTTAGGGTTGAGCGGGAGCAACGGCAGCTCGGCGAAGCCGAGGCGGCACCACTGCAGCTGCAGCAGCCAGACGGAACTGAACTCGCTGGAGCTGGAGAACGGCAGCCCGAACCACTCGATCCTCTCGTTGACCTATCACACCGCGGCGTCCCCGCCGTCCTCGTACTCCTCCGTCAGCGACTACACGGAGAAGTTCGTGGCCGGCGGCAGATCGTCGCCGATCTCGGCGAACGGCGGGCAAAGATCGGAGGACGATCTGAGCGCCTACGTGAAGGAGGTGACGAAGGAGCTGGCGACGGAGATCAAGTCCGAGATACGGGAGGTGATCTCGAAGGTGGACGACGCGCTGTCCGAGACGAACACGTCGGAGAACACGCCGCAGCATCACTCGCGCGGCATGGCAATGATCGGCGGGCAGTCCTCCACCGAGGAGAACAGGCAGACCAGACACGACTCGTTCAACGCGAGCAACATCGCCGAGTACCTGATGGAGTTCTCGAAGGAGATGGCCAGCGAGGTGAAGTCCGAGATCAGATGCATGGTGAACGCGGTGGACGGGCTGCACAGACACTCGCCGGACGCGTCCGCCTCCGATGTTTCCTCGAACGGCTGCGGCTCGCCCGACAGAGCGGGCAGGGTCGCGCAGCCGTCCGCGTCGCCTAGACTCTCCAGTACCAGGCGAAGCGGCCCGATCGAGATCACGGGGGGGAAGGTCGCCGGGCTGACGCAGCAGGAAAGCAAGATGTCCAGCGAGTGTTCCTCCGACGAGACGGTCATCTACGTGATGAAGCCCGCGGAGAACGGGCAGCTGGTCAGCAGCCAGTCGAAGACTGACGACGAGGAGGTTGTCCACGATCTCGACGACGACCTGAACGACGACGACGCGCAGGAGAGGGGCGGCCTGGAGATCGGCGACGCGAGGAAGATCCTACCAAAGATATACTCGGCGGTGAACTCGGTCAGCTCGCAGGACAGCGGGATCAATCTGTCCTTCCACGAGAGCGACAAGTCCCTCGACTCGGTGGACTTGAAGCGGAGCAGCAGCGCGGAATCGAACTCCGCGAACAGCTACGGCCGCAAGCCGAGGACGGCCTCCGTGACGGCTCTGACGGGCAAGTCCAACTGCAAGCAACAGGTACGGCAGAACGACGACTTCTCGGAGGACGAGGAGTGCTCGAGCGACTTGAAGGAGGAGGAGAACCAGGAGGCGGCGTTCGAGTCGAAGGACGGTAAGTCCGACGTGGCTCGACCGCAGTGGCACTGTCCGCCTAAGAGCATCTGGAAACCGACGGTCGAGGCTATACAGGAATTCGACATGATTCGCGACAGCGACAGGGTGCTGGTCTGCCTGTCGGTCAGCGGCAAGGACTCCCTGTCGCTGTTGCACACGTTGCGTCAGTATAAGTTCTACGTTAGATCGAAGGGTATAGACTTCGAAATCGGCGCGGCCGCGGTCGACACGGACGGATTGGATCCGATCGAGATGATGAGCTACCTGAAGGCACTGGATGTCCCGTACTACTACGAGGATCGGAGCGCGGAGCAGAAGTCGAAGATTAGCGAGAACCAGTCGGAGGACCCGCTGGAAGCGGGCAGCGCGTGTAGCTTTTGCAACCGGGCAATCAGAGCACGGCTCTATTCGATCGCCAAACGGCACAATTACAACGTGCTGGCCATCGGCCAGCATCTAGACGATCTCACCGAGAGTTTCCTCGTCTCGGTGTTCCACGGCGGCAAGCTGAAAACCATGAAGGCCCACTACTACATCCGCAGGCAGGATCTCAGGGTCGTCAGACCGTTCGTTTACGTTCGGGAGAAATCGCTGAGGCAGTTCGCCGAGAGCAAGAAGCTGTTGGCTTCGCGGGGAACCAGGTCGAGCGACCTTCCCGAGGTAAGCTTGTTATTTATAACGGCAATTGTCACCGTTCCGCGCGTCTTTAATTAGACGCGATCGATAATCCGTGGTATTTTACCTCGATGTCATCGCTCTTGACCCGCTCCAATTCAATCGCGTCTTGATCATCTTGAAGCATCGATCGTTTACCTTGTTTTCTGCCGCTGAACACGATGGGGAGATCCGCGATGATTAGAGCGCGAGATTCCGTTGGGGTAGTCGAGTGCGAGAACGCGCTTACAATGGCGGACGAGAGAACGCAGAAATGTAGCTCGTAACGGCAATGATCTTCTCATAAATATGCGCATCGTATGAATGAGTAAGTAGGCACGCGGCGCGTTCAAAACAACAGCGGAAGCGAGAAAAAAGACAAGGTAGACGAAAACACGATTAATTATGTATTCTTACGCTCGCGTTTGTTATGTTTCCACACTTCCTAATATTTCATTAATATTGATATTCTCTGATGCTCCGTTTTGTTTACTTGCTACTTGAACTATAATCTGTAACGCATACGGAAGGTTTGACTCTTAAATTAGTGATTATTCGGTGACTTCTCGGGCATGCGCGTAAGTTACGCTAGAGGTGGCGAAAAGGTGGGGACTTATACGTACAGGTAGAGCGACGGAGTTTCTTCGTGTTCTCTTGGCTCCGCTGGCTCGGAGTCCTTCGGGAGATCATGCCTGGATCTCATACTTAAGACCTGGAACTCATAGGGCAGAGTTTCTCAACTTGTTATAGAGTCCCTTGATACTTTCGATTTTAGTTTGAAGAACCTGCTCGCGAGATTTCGAGCAAACTTTATAGTATCTCCCCTGCCTCTTTGCGCTCGTCTCTAATGCAGCTTGTGCGCATCTCCGAAGTATCATCATCACTTTGAGTGGTATACCTATTAAATATAGTAAACCTCTAACCTCATCATGTTCTTAAGTTACTGAGGCTATAAAATAATCCCCATTTGAGTGAACGAAGTCGTTCCCGATCTCAGGGAACCACTCAAAGTGTTATTAAACGAAAAGTCGGCGATATTCAGCTCGATTTTCTTTCGCAGAAACAGAATCAAAACAAAGAATTGATCATCCAACACGAGCGCACATACCCTCGACTCTCGTGGTCGTTGAGGTCCGCTCTACGGCCACTGATAGACGCGCACGGGCAACAAGCGGACTTGGACGCAGCCTGTGGCCCGAGCACGGCCAGCAGCTCGAGCAGTTCCAGCGCGAGTAGCAGCAGCTGCAGCAGCGCCAGCAACAGCGGTCAGCAAAAGAGGCAGCGACGAGTGAAAACGAGTTCCCTGTCGGCTGGCTCCGTCGCGCAGTGTCAAACGAAGGATCAACAGGACAACGACGACACCGACGAGGAGCCGGTCCTTTGAGGGAGACCCGCCGCGAGATGGGATTTCCGTCGTTCCTCGGTCTCATCCTCGCACCACCGTCGAAAACTACCATTGAACCCGTTCTCCGTCGTGAGGAGAAGACGGCTGCGGTTCGCCGCGGCCGTCGCCAACCCCGTTGCCACCGCGGACGCACGCGATCCGAAAGGAGGATCTTAAGGACGGCCGACGACGCGACAAGAGTATCGCGACGGAGCCAGATCGACGGACGATTTCGAAGCCGCGGGTGGATCTCGTGCGACGAGCTGCGTTTTCCGTTGTCAAGTAGCGTTTAATCAGTTCCGACTATTTTAGACGGTCCCGAATTACTTGCCAATCGTTCGAACAATTCATCCGAGAACTCGGGACCTCCGTCGCGTAGCGAACGTAATAGACGTCGGCGTCGAAGTTGCTCGCGAATGTTTAGCAGCCGATCGACGCGTCGATCGGGAAGGGATCGTCGGCGCACGAATGTCGGGCGGCGCGATCGCAGCGACGCTAGGCAGCGTCTCTCTCTCGCGGCCGGGCACGGCCGAGCCGCCATCTTGTCGGCGCGCCGCTGCGACCCGTCCGCTCGCCGAGACGATATCGCTTCTCAGAGCTACTTAAGAGATACACGTTTGTTGCGCGATTAAATGTTACTCTTACCTAAGGACACTTAGCGTTTAAATAACCACAACAACACATGCTGAGACTTCGGTTGTACTTCGCGAGTTCGGGGCGCCGCGACGACGGCGCGGGGAGTACGGTCGTTACCCTGGGACACGGGGTAGACGCCGGAGGCCAGCTGGTCCCCGTTCCCCGACCATCGTTCCGTTCCCATAAGATATCGCGCTGATCGTGAAACCGCGGTGCGAAGCACGTTCGACTCGACTCGGACCGGCGACGGTGGCCCGAACGCGAAAACCACGGGGAACAGGTTGACCTGAGATGAACCAAAACCTCGACTGCTCAACCGGCGGGACTGCGGCGCAGTTAACGGCGGACGCTTCATTCTTTTTTATATGTACACGACAAATTGTGATTACGGGGGATCGCGCGAGCGCGCGTTCCAGCTTCGCCGGCGATTAGGGTGTAGTGCGATTAAGACACAAAATTTTTTGTAAACCGCGACCACGGACCGGGGCGAGCCTCTCTCTTTTTCGAGACACTTTTTTTGACGAGCGCATGCGAACGAAACGGGACGGAAAGGAAGTGTAGACATTCGGTTCCTCGACGCGAGAGAAGAGAGAGACGAACGATGCGCGCGTGTCTGCGCTCCGTCGTTCACGGATCGATAGGGCGTTCATTTTTTTGCGGTCAGAAAAAATGTCGCCCTTGACCCTCTGGGAACGATCACACTCATTGATGCGCGCGCGCGCGCGCGTGGCGAGCCGCGGGAATATTCGGTTTGGTCCACCGTGATTTCGACACGGTGGGCATCGGTACTCGACACGATACGCGTATTTATTGCACCGACTGATTGAGAAACGAGACGCGATTGAGGGGTGGAAGGTTTTGACGAATTCTCAGCGGCGTGACACGTAACTCCGATCGCACGCGCACAACGATGCGCCGACTCGGGCGCACTCGTGGAACACGTTGTACATAGATTGCTTATAACAGAGCGGACCGAAGGGAGATCACACGGTTACATCATTAAACGAAAGCTTTTTCCTCTTAACTGGTACGCGCGCATGAATATTATACATGTATAAACATTGTA